GGTTCGATGAGCGCTAGAATAACAATTCTGCCTGTCTCCCATTTGAGTTAGGAGCAGGTGAGGGGTCAATCTTCTTTTGTTCCTCTTATGCCCTCTATCTCTCTCGCTCTTTCTCTCTCTCGCTCTTCAGATGTAAGATCTTAATTTGATCACTCTTTTGTTGCTGAGAATGTTCCTGCACGGCAGGAAATGCAAACTTTTCTAAAGTTTGCATTTCCATTTTGAAATTTCAGACTTGTCCTAACGAAAAATGTATCAATCCCTACAGAAATGTCCATTAATTATAATCCACATAATAATTCAAATTTCCTGTTGCTGCAGGATTATTTTCCTGCTGTAGCAAACTGGCTCAAATTAAGATCCTACATGTGTATCTCTGCATCTTATTTATTGTAGTGAAGGAATCTGCCAAGGCAGAGCACAATTTCATGGATCCTTGCCTTCTGTGTCTCACTAAGACATGAAAGAGACATCTGAAAGGCTTTTTCTTTTTTATGGAATCAAAAAGGGCAGACCCCTAGCCCATTTCAGTGGGCTATTATTGGTGGTGTACCACCAGCACCACTCTCCCCCTCCCCTTTACAGAGAGAGAGACTCATTGATGCTGTAGTGTTGAACCACACTCAGCAAGGTCGCCCTGTCCCCAGCACTGCACCTGCCACTGGGGGGGGGGGGATACAAATGATAGAGAGGGGAGAGAAAGTAAGAGAATGAGGGACAGAGAGAGAAAGATGGGGGGAGAGGGCAGAGATATAATGTCCGTCTTGTTCGCGTCCTTGCAAGCTGCTATGTTTCTGCAGAGAAAATGTTTTTTTCAGGGGTGTGCCACAGGGCTCCGTGTAAACACCGTTCCATTTCTTCTTAATGGATGACTACCTCTTTGATGAGGGGAGGCCTTCAGTCTCTGAAAGGACAAGGTCATTAGTCTTTGGATGTTTCTATCTGGCATCCCACATTTAATTATCTTTCAAAGTTGGAGAGAGGAAGAGAGAGAAGTTTTATATACTGAACAAAAATATAATATAAATATAAATGCAACAATTTAAAAGATTTTACTGAGTTACAGTTCATATAAGGAAATCAGTCAATTGAAATAAATGCATTAGGCCCTAATCTATGGATTTCACATGACTGGGAATACAGATATGCATTTTTCCATGTGTTTGATGCCATTCCATTTGCGCCATTCCAGCCATTATTATTATCCCCTCAGCAGCCTCCTGTGCTCTGTTCACAATGTTGACATCAGCATACCGCTCGCCCGCACGATGCCACTTGGTCTGCGGTTGTGAGGCCCGCTGGACATACTGCCAAATTCTCTAAAACAACGTTGGAGACGGCTTTTGGTAGAGAAATTAACATACAATTCTTTGGCAACAGCTCTGGTGGACATTTCTGCAGTCACCATGCCAATTGCACGCTCCCTCAAAACTTGAGACATCTGTGGCATTGTGTTGTGTGACAAAACTGGACATTTTAGAGTGGCCTTTTATTGTCCCCAGCACAAGGTGCACCTGTGTAATGATCATGCTGTTTAATCAGCTTCTTGATATGCCACACCTGTCAGGTGGCTGGATTATCTTGGCAAAGGAGAAATGCTCACTAACAGGGATGTAAAAAATGTGTGCACAACATTTTAGAGAAATACGCTTTTTGTGCATATGGATATTTCTAGGATATTTTATTTCAGCTCATGAAACATGGGACCAACACTTTACATGTTGCGCTTATATTTTTGTTCAGTGTAAATGGCCTGGGTACACTCTTAGAAAGGTGCTATCTAGAGCCCTTTCCACAGAGGGTTCTATATGGAACCCAAAAGAGTTCTACCTGGAACCAAAAAGGCTTCTCCTAAGAGTGTAGGTTGTGCGTTTCCATGGCCCAAGTGAACCACGCCTTTGTAGTGTTCTGGAGATTTCTTTGATTAATGGCCAAGAAATCACCGCTCGACAGCTGCTTTTGTTTTTGAAGGTACAGATCTTGTGAATGTTGCGACTGTATGAAATTACCGTCCGTCAGTCCCCAGCGTATACCTCGATTTATTTCACCTCACAAATAAAGACTGTGTTATTAGTTTCAGGTGATTTATTCCATGTGCACTTGTTGTTCTGCGTAGAATGTTGAGTAATGATGATAAACGGTGAGAATGCAGGAGTGGAAAGCAGAACAAGCCAACTTTATCACCCTGGTTAGAATAAAACAATAGCAGACACCTGGTGATGTAGATGTCAGTATCACAGACCAGTCAAAGGGAAGATGCGGTTCAACAGTTTGGTGCTGAACTCCGCTTTAGTGTAGAAATACTTTACTGTACTCTACTACTACTGCACTCTCTACAACATATAATGCATAACCTCTCACGCTGAAACCAACTGTTGTCTTTTTTTGCGAAGTAAAACAATGAAGGAGTGAAGGAGACCAACCAGAAACAATATCAACTCCCAACTCCCATCATTTGTTTAGTCTTTTAGATTGCTCTGACTAAGTGGCTATAAATCTTCCAAAGCTAATTTCATGACTGTGCACTAAGCTAGAGAGTGTTGGCAGGCACAGGATTCTCCCAGACCGTGTGAGAGTCAACCAACAGCTCCTCACCCTGTGTTGATAACGCCACAGTTGGCAGCTGTCATTGGCCCTGTCATGTTTGTTTTATGTCGCAGGGTCACACGACCTAGAGAGCCACGCATGAGTGTGAATAGTGTTAAGATGAACTCTTCTGCCATTTGGGGATGATATCTAGTTTTCTCAGGCAAATGTTAGTCTTGTCAATAGATTGAAAAGTAAGGGTAAGCATACCAAATGGCTGTTGTTGTTACTATACTGTTGTTACATGAGCATGCATTTTACTCAAGATAGATAATGAGCATTTAATTATACAAAAGTTGTTTCAGATAAAATGTTTATATATATATATTTTTTTAATTGGGGGGGGGGGGGGGGTAGGTCAGCTTTAATATTGCAGATAGATTGTGACTTCCATCAATGTAATTGTCTGCATCATTTCCAATCCCACGAATTATTTTGTTGTAAATATATATATATATAAATTATATATTTTTTCCTTTATTATTTTCCCCTAACCCTACCATCCCTCCCCTAATTGGAGTAAACTAATGGACAACAACACTTAGGCTTCTACTTCCAGCTTATACATACTATATACATTTTATGGACACAGTATATTTTACAATAGTTATCTTTTATTTGTTTTTAGTCCCGTCCTTCAGCTCCACTCAACCCCTCCCATCTATCTCTGAACACCATCCAGTTTTGATTTCTATTTGCCATATATTTTTCAACTGTGCTGTGATGTTTCACAAAAGTTCTGAACCTTTCTATTCTCATAGATTCTACATATTGTAAATTAAAGAGACCATTTTTTGCTAATAGTATTATTATATTATTGATCGATTGACTATGACTTTTTAAATCACCCAGCAGTGCGATTTGCAGAGTTAGCTCCAGGTAAATGTTGCAATTCATCAGCCATTCCTGAACCTGCGACCAAAAACAAGCTACATATGGACAGTACCAAAACAAATGATCTAATAATTCTGTCTCTTCGCAGCAAAATCTGCAGAGCTCGGATGGTTGTATATATATATTCTATTGGTTGCAAGAATTTTGTATAATAATTTAAATTGAAAAACTCTTAAGTTTTGAATCCGGCGTTGTTTTGTGTATCAGTTCATAAACCATGTGACATGGAATCGGTACATCGAAAATCTCTTCCCAACTATTTAGCAATCTATATTGCAAATGTTTGGACATTGTTCTTGGTGAAAACATGTTTTTTATTCATTATAACACACTGGTTTCTGTTTCCAGCTCGCCACCATAAAAAGTGAATCCCGTTTGAAGCACCTACTACAGCGACTACCAAGCTACTGCCCTGAGTCTATGGTAAGTGCCGATTTCTGATCTACAAATAGTCTTTGGTCAAATGCGTCTGTAATAAAGTCGGCTATGAAATCTTTCATTACGACACAGGAAATGTATCGTGGCCATGGCAAAGCTTATAAGCATTAATCACAAGTCTATTGCACCTGGTTTGGCTACAAGTATAAAATAAGTATCAAAAAGCGGAGCTTGAAACCAGGCTTAACGCTCCCCACCCGCCAACGTAATTACAAACCCTAATGTTTTTGATCTGCTCGAAACAGCCAATTAGGAACCAGTCTGTCATTAGCTAGAGTTAAGTACTTTATTTTATTTGCACACATGTCCTGCACTAATTTGTTAAAATGGATCAGATTTTTGGATTTTGGAAACGATTTCACCAGCATATTAGCACTGAAGTTCCAAGGTTCCTTTTACTCTAAGAACCCACAAAACATCTCAAAGCGGTTCTAAGGGATTGTTTCTAAGGGAATGTTTATTGGCTCTGTGAGGTATAATAGTAGTTGTACTTGGAGTGCTGCAAAAATGTGCCTTCCACCGCCTGTCGACCTTCATGTTACGAAATCTTCTTGGGTTCCCCCATTACAAATCATGTTTATACTTAATGTAAAGATATTGCTTCTCTCCGTCGGCCTCGCAAATTATAGTGATGCCTCCTGACAAGCGGCTCCTCTCTTCACGAGCCAACTGACATGAGTGAGTGTTTACACTGACGTACAGAGCTGAACCTCAGACAATGTCCAGTTTTTAAAGTTGATCATCTTGTTTAGGGCTAGAGAGAGAGAGTGCTCTCTGAGCCACTCACTACTCCTTCTCCATGCATCATATTCTCTATCGGGAGGAGCCTGGGATGTTTGTGTTTATTACTGTGTGTTATTTATCCCACAGAATGTTACCACAAAGCTCTTATGATTTTATACGTCTCTGTTGTTTTTTCTGCTGCATGAAAATATTTTTTAATTAGACTGCAGTAATATAAAAAATGCAATGTTCTCTATGAAATTCAATAGCCTGTTGTTTCACGCAAAGAGCCAAGAGTTCTCTGAGGCCATTTTTTGTAGCGCTGAAAAATATTTGGGGACAGGATTTCTAGAAATGCACAGACATCCTTACTTTTACAAACCCCCGACAGAGGTCTTCCATGTTGTTCATTCATGCTCACTTATGTTCAACACAAAGCTCCTTCCTTTGTAATTTGTCCCAACTCCAGAGAAACGACGGTATGTCAAAACAACCTGTCGTTCTGTTATGAACTGGGCATTTTCATGGCATTTTCTTCTCTGGTTATCTTGCTTGTTTTGGCATTGGTCCTCTGTTTATAATGCTATGACCTTTCTCTCTGTTTCACAGAATGAGCTTTGGATTTGCATCAACTCCACACTACCTGGTAAGATCTGCGGGCAGCGGTTCAAAGGCATACATTGCTGTTACAGACAAATGTACCTGTCAGAACATAATGCCTCCCAGATGCAAAAACATTGTTGATCCTTACCTACAGACACACACAAAAACGCGCACGCACACACACACACACACACACACACACACACACACACACACACACACACACACACACACACACACACACACACACACACACACACACACACACACACACACACACACACACACACACACACACACACACACACACACACACACACACACACAGCATTGCTTAGCTCAACACTGTATACCCATTGAGCCGACACTAAAAGTCCATATAAGTCCACAGTTTAAAGCCAGACTCAGTAAGTCTCATTTACGTAATTTGTGTTTATGAAATATCAAACTGTCGGGGCGACAGTTTTACTTGTTTGTTAACAAACCCAGGCAAGATGTCATAACATGCTCTACCTAAGATTTCTCAAGCGGCCGCTGGGCCAGCTGCCCTTTGATCAGTATCAGACAGCTGGTGTTCTCATTTGCTTGTAGCCTACAACTTGCATGTAGGTTACTCTACTGTATTATAAAAATGAGTCAGCTATGAACGTTACAGCAGTATAATGTTATTCTAATGAACATAGACAACAATATACTGCGCTGCAACGGTAGGCTATATAGCGCCATTATCTGCTTGATCTCTTGCTTTTGCAGTGCAAACACCCTCAGAAACTATAGGGTTGTTATAAAAGAGATCATCCAAGAGGAAAACAACCAGCCAGCTAGCAACTCCAGCAAAGTTTGCGAGTAAGTGCATGAACGTTTATTTGGCTGTAGGCTAATCACACACCAGTAGGCTATGCACATTGCAAGCAATGCGTGTGTGAAAATATCTATTTGTTAGCCAGCTAAATTAGCTAGCTTGCTAATTAGCTTCACTTACCAGCAGACAGAGCTGGCTTTTGTGATTTTTATTGGCACTGTCCACAGTGTCCATCATGCTAGCACTGGTCATGCTGAGGAGTCTAAAATATGGTCCAACTAGCAAGTGGTAAACTAGGAAAATATTCCCAATCTATTGCTGAATGAAAATTGCCCACAATTCCAGTTTCATTCAGAAGCTCATTCTAGAAACATCAAATAAACTTTGTAACAACAGACCCGCCGGTGTTTTCAAATCTGCGCTCCTGCACATCATCAGCTGTTGCACAGACAGCTGCACAGACGGACTGACAGCCAGGAGCCAATATTACCTTTACGACACGCATTTGTCAGCTAAATTACACTTTTATTCTGTATCATTTAACTCTCATTCATAATGAGAGAGATACACAGTAGATAGGCCAATTTGTATGTATTGTTGATGTGTTGCTGTAGTCATGGATGGATCAGAGGAACAGATAGAATGTACGTGATAAAAAAAATCTATATGCATCATAATTACCTGGAGAAATCTGACCTGCAATTTGTAAACAAAACTGCTGTACTTATAATTAATAAAAACTTCATTTTAATCCCTTTGAAGTGACACAAATGGCCAAATAAGCTTTCATCTATCCATTTTGAGATATATTAAAACTGGAAAAAATATATATTTTATTTGGGTCTGGCTGAGTCTGGCTTTAATATGTTGCCCATTAAAAAGTATACATATTTTGCAAACCCCCACTAGAGGATAAAGTTAACCCATGCTTTTATTCTGATAATGCTACACCCAGCAAGGTTTGTGGGTAATGGTGGCCATTTTGGTTTGTCTACAGGAGCGTCCAGGAAGTCCGATGGTTGGGTGGGCCTTGGCTGCTGTGAGCTGGCCATCTCGGTCGAGTGCCGCAGGGAGTGCAAGCAGGTGAGAGAGGAAGTTAGTTTGGCCAGTTATGACCTCATCCATATGGTCTCACCTAATTCCTCATTCTCTGACCCTATAGGCATCATCCAAGAACGACATCACAAAAGTATGCAAAAAAGACACAGAGGTAAGTAACACAAGGTCATGTATTGTGTAAAATAATGTGCTTTGTTTAAATTGAGCAAATGCTGTTGACTCTGAGAGACTGTATGTATTCTCTGCTGCTTTTCCCTGGCCTTTCCCCTGGACTTTACAAGATAAAGGCAGTGTTAAGTCTTAACGGTCCAATCTCAGTATCGTGCTCATCCCCACCCCTCTTTATGAGGTAATTTCCTGTCGTTGTAGCACTCTAGAGGGAGGTAATTATCTTAGCTCTGATTGGAGCCGCTCTCGTCAAAGGAAGAGAGGAGTAAGCTCATCCAGTCCTGCTAAGAAGACTTAGCTTAGCTATTAGCTTAGTATAGCGTAGGCTAGCGATGTGCTAGCAGAGGTCTCCTTTCATCTGGCTCACCTCCTCATTCCAAACAAACAAACAAACAAAGCGGCGGGCTTAATGTTTGGTTTGGACCACAACCACAACCAAACTCCCCCCACCAGCTTTAATTAGGCACTGGCCCCTTTCATCTTGCCCTTTCATGAATCCTTGAGAGGGGAGCCAAAGCACGCAGCAGCACTGGCCTTTATGTTCCTCTATAACGTTGATGAAAAGAAGCCAGTTAGTTTTCAGATGGAGTTTTAACAGTACTTAGGACAGGACAGTTTTTATGTATTTTAGTAAATGATTTTTTAACCCTTATTTTACCAGGTAAGTTGACTGTAAACACATTCTTATTTACAGCAACGACCTGAGGAATAGTTACAGGGAAGAGGAGGAGCGATGAATGAGCCAATTGGAAGCTGGGGATGATTAGTTTGCCATAATGATATGAGGGCCAGATCTGGAATTTAGCCAGGACACCGGGCTTAACACCCCTACTCTGACGATGTGCCATGGGATCTTTAGTGACTACAGAGAGTCAGATCCAAAAGACGGCACCCTACACAGGGCAATATCCCCAATCATTACCCTGGATACCCATTTGATGAGAGAGAGAGAGAGAGAGAGAGAGAGAGAGAGAGAGAGAGAGAGAGAGAGAGAGAGAGAGAGAGAGAGAGAGAGAGCGAGAGAGAGAGCGAGAAAGAGGTGGGGGAGAGAGAGAGAGAGAGAGAGAGAGAGAGAGCGAGAGCGAGAGAGAGAGATTGTTTATTATCTATTTCACTTGCTTTGGCAATGTAAACATATGTTTCCCATGCCAATAAAGCCCCTTAAATTTAAATTGAGAGAGCGAGAGAGAGAACGGTTGGTTGTTTTCATCTAGGGAACGGTCCAGAATATTGCTGAGTGAAATGTAATGAATAGAGCTGACACAATAATGTTTTTTCAATTATACTTTTGATCACCAAAATATTTTTCTTCTCATTTCCAGAAACCACTCTACAGCTGTATCATCAAAAATGAGAGTAAGTTTCCCAAATCTCCATGACAAGCTGCTAGCCCAAGTCCACCAATCAGAGCGTGACTTTCCAGTGTGATGCACTGAGAATTAAACATGGAGTCAGCTTGGGGCCCTTTGACCTCTTTGAGGAGGAAAAGAGTCGCCACTCTGCTTGACGAGCCGTGTTTACGTGCCTGAAAGGGCAAGGTCTTGACCTTTGGTCCGCAGAAATGATTTCATCTGTCACGGAGTCAGCCAGCTGATGAAACCCTTATTTGTATTCGAAGCTGCAATGCGGTGGTGTGAAACTGCCCTGCAGACAAGCCCACCACAGACGTGACAGACATGCCTTTGGGCGATTATGAGGATGTGAGGTCTTGGACTTCCCTGAAGTCTAGCAACTGCAGATAACCCCCAATGTTCACCATGCATATTTAATCAGACTATTCTCTAGGAAATCCTGGAAGTCTACTCTATTCTACTCTAATTCAGCGAAGAAGAATTCCTGATGCTTGAATGTCGATCGTTTGCAATGTCTGTCATATATTTTATGAAGCTAAAGGCTATTTAAAGACAAAATAGTCTAAATAGCCTTTATAATAATAGTAATAATGAACTATTTTCTATTTGATTCTGTTTACAATTCCATTGAAGTGAATGAGTGATGGAAAGCATGTTGTAACTGTGTTGTCTGTCTGTGCTGCCTCAGTGGGCTCGGTATGCTGCAGCTACGCAGGGAGACACACCAACTGCAGAGAGTACTGCCAGGCTATCTTCCGGACAGACTCCTCCCCCACCCTCTCTCAAATCAAGGCCGTCAAGGAATACTGCCAGAGCATCAGCCCCGAGCTCATTGGCTGTGTGGGCAACTACACCAAGTCTTACCCTATTAGGAGCCCCATAGACAGTGAGTATTTCTAATACTGACCTATCAGGAGCGTCGTAGATACTGAGTATATCTCATACTGACCATATCAGGAGCTTCGTAGATACTGAGTATATCTAATATTGACCTATCAGGAACTTCGTAGATACTGAGAATATCTAATACTGACCTATCAGGAGCTTCGTAGATACTGAGTATATCTAATACTGACCTATCAGGAGCTTCGTAGATATTGAGTATATCTAATACTGACCTATCAGGAGCTTCATAGATACTGAGTATATCTAATACTGACCTATCAGGATCTTCGTAGATACTGAATATACCTAATACTGACCTATCAGGATCTTCGTAGATACTGAATATACCTAATACTGAGCTATCAGGAGGTTCGTAGATACAGAGTATATCTAATACTGACCTATCAGCAGCCCCATAGATAATGAGTAGTCTTATACCCAAATAATTGCCCAAGTAAATGCCCCTCGGGAATAAAGAATAATATATTTAATTGAATTGAAATACTAATCTATCAGGACCCCATTTAATATAGCCAGTGTGTATCTTATGTCTGTGTTGCCTTCCTCCCATCACTGTCTATCACTAAGTGTGTCCGTCCATCTGTCTGTCCTTCCAGGCCTGTACTGCTGCGACCGGGCCGATGAGCCCCACTGCCAGGTGGCGTGCCGGCGCATCCTTCGCACCATGACCACGGAGCATGAGATCATGGAGGGCCTGATTGATGAGTGCGGCAGCCAGCCACTGCCCCAGGACCCGCTGTGGCAGTGCTTCCTGGGCAGCGCCCACCCCCCCACCAAGAGCGAGACGGAGACCTCCCCCACCGCCAAGATGGACGGCGCCAAGCTACACTGCTGCTCCAAAGCCAATACCTCATTGTGCCGGTTAGTTGGAGTCATTGTACTCTGATGAGATGCTTATAATAATAATATGCCATTTAGCAGACGCTTTTATCCAAAACTACTTAGTCAATTGTACGAACATTATATGTATCAGTGGTCCTGGGAGTCAAACCCCCTATCCTGGCGTTACAAGCACCATACTCTACCAACTGAGCTAGCTACAGAGCCTTACAGAAACCACTTGAATTTCAGGTGAACATGTGAAGTGTTCCAAAAACACATTTTCATGTAATCACATATGGCAACACGTAAAGCAACATGTGATAACATGAATCTAAACATGTGAAAACATGGTCACATGTGAAGTGTTCCAAATACATATGTTTTCACGTGTTTTTTCTGTAAGGGGAGGACCATAATATCACTTCTAGTCATTAGAACTGATTACAGTTACAGTATAGTGCAGAAAGTGCCTTACATTGTATGCAGGTAACTTCAACTCATAGGGTTGGTTTCCAGGACACAGAGAATCTACATTGAAAGTGATTTAGTCCGGGAAACTGGGCCATGGTATACAGTGTTGATATCCAGTTGAGCTGTGTAAATATTGATTGCATGTGAACTAGGCACAGTTTTCTACTGATCAAAATTAACAGGAAGTTTTAGAACACCTACTCATTCAAGGGTTTTTCTTAATTTTTCTTAATAGTGAAGACATCAAAACGATGAAATAACACAATCATGTAGTAACTACAAAAGTGTTCAACAAATCAAAATATATTTTATATTTGAGATTCTTCAAATAGCCACCCTTTGCCTTGATGATAGTTTTGCACACTCTTGGCATTCTCTCAACCAGCTTCATGAGGAATGCTTTTCCAACAGTCTTGAAGGAGATCCCACATATTTACATTGACATTTTAGTCATTTAGCAGACGCTCTTATCCAGAGCGACTTACAGTTAGTGAGTGCATACATTTTCATACTGGCCCCCCGTGGGAAATGAACCCACAACCCTGGCGTTGCAAGCGCCATGCTCTACCAACTGAGCTACACGGGGCCTGACCACTTGTTGGCTGCTTTTCCTTCACTCTGCAGTCCAACTCATCCCAAACCATCTCAATTGGGTTGAGGTTGGGTGATTGTGAAGGCCAGGTCATCTGATGCAGCAGTCCATCACTCTCCCTCTTGGTCAAATAGCCCTTACACAGCCTGGAGGTGTGTTTTGGGTCATTGTCCTGTTGAAAACAAATGATAGTCCCACTAAGCGCAAACCAGATGGGATGGCGTATTGCTGGTTAAGTGTGCCTTGAATTTTAAATAAATCACAGACAGCAAAGCACCCCCACACCATCACACCTCCTCCTCCATGCTTCACGGTGGGAACCGCACATGCGGAGATCATCCGTTCACCTACTCTGCGTCTCAGAAGACACGGCTGTTGGAACTAAAAATCTCAAATTTGGATTCATCAGACGAAAGGACAGATTTCCACCAGTCTAATGTCCATTGCTCGTGTTTCTTGGCCCAAGCAAGTCTCTTCTTCTTATTGGTGTCCTTTAGTAGTGGTTTCTTTGCAGCAATTCGACCATGAAGGCCTGATTCACGCAGTCTCCTCTGAACAGTTGATGTTGAGATGTGTCTGTTACTTTAACTCTGTGAAGCATTTATTTGGGCTGCAATCTGAGGTGCAGTTAACTCTAATGAACTTATCCTCTGCAGCAGAGGTAACTCTTGGTCTTTCTTTCCTGTGGCGGTCCTCATGAGAGCCAGTTTCATCATAGCGCTTGATGGTTTTTGCCACTGCACTTGAAGAAACTTCCAAAGTTCTTGGCATTTTCCGTATTGACTGACCTTCATGTCTTAAAGTAATGATGGACTGTCGTTTCTCTTTGCCTTTTTGAGCTGTTCTTGCCATAATATGGACTTGGTCTTTTACTAAATAAGGCTATCTTCTGTATACCACCCCTACCTTGTCACAACACAACTGATTGGCTCAAATGCATTAAGGAGGAAAGTAATTCCACAAATTAACTTTAAGAAGGCACACCTGTTAATTGAAATGCATTCCAGGTGACTACCTCATGAAGCTGGTTGAGAGAATGCCAAGAGTGTTCAAAGCTGTCATCAAGGCAAAGGGTGGCTACTTTGAAGAATATAAAATATATTTTGATTTGTTTAACACTTTCTTGGTTAATACATGATTCCAAATGTGTTATTTCATAGTTTTGATGTCTTCACTATTATTCTACAATGTAAAAAATAGTAAAAATAAAGAAAAACCCTTGAATGAGTAGGTGTGTCCAAACTTTTGACTGGTACTGTATATATATATATATATATACAGTGGGGAGAACAAGTATTTGATACACTGCCGGTTTTGCAGGTTTTCCTACTTACAAAGCATGTAGAGGTCTGTCATTTTTATCATAGGTACACTTCAACTGTGAGAGACGGAATCTAAAACAAAAATCCAGAAAATCACATTGTATGATTTTTAAAGTAGTGAATTTGCGTTTTATTGCATGACATAAGTATTTGATACATCAGAAAAGCAGAACTTAATATTTGGTACAGAAACCTTTGTTTGCAATTACAGAGATCATACGTTTCCTGTAGGTCTTGACCAGGTTTGCACACACTGCAGCAGGGATTTTGGCCCACTCCTCCATACAGACCTTCTCCAGATTCTTCAGGTTTTGGGGCTGTCGCTGGGCAATACGGACTTTCAGCTCCCTCCAAAGATTTTCTATTGGGTTCAGGTCTGGAGCCTGTCTAGGCCACTCCAGGACCTTGAGATGCTTCTTACGGAGCCACTCCTTAGTTGCCCTGGCTGTGTGTTTTGGGTCGTTGTCATGCTGGAAGACCCAGCCACGACCCATCTTCAATGCTCTTACTGAGGGAAGTAGGTTGTTGGCCAAGATCTCGCGATACATGGCCCCATCCATCCTCCCCTCAATACGGTGCAGTCGTTCTGTCCCCTTTGCAGAAAAGCATCCCCAAAGAATGATGTTTCCACCTCCATGCTTCACAGTTGGGATGGTGTTCTTGGGGTTGTACTCATCCTTCTTCTTCCTCCAAACACGGCGAGTGGAGTTTAGACCAAAAAGCTCTATTTTTGTCTCATCAGACCACATGACCTTCTTCCATTCCTCCTCTGGATCATCCAGATGGTCATTGGCAAACATCAGACGGGCCTGGACATGCGCTGGCTTGAGCAGGGGGACCTTGCGTGCGCTGCAGGATTTTAATCCATGACGGCGTAGTGTGTTACTAATGGTTTTCTTTGAGACTGTGGTCCCAGCTCTCTTCAAGTCATTGACCAGGTCCTGCCGTGTAGTTCTGGGCTGATCCCTCACCTTCCTCATGATCATTGATGCCCCACGAGGTGAGATCTTGCATGGAGCCCCAGACCGAGGGTGATTGACCGTCATCTTGAACTTCTTCAATTTTCTAATAATTGCGCCAACAGTTGTTGCCTTCTCACCAAGCTGCTTGCCTATTGTCCTGTAGCCCATCCCAGCCTTGTGCAGGTCTACAATTGTATCCCTGATGTCCTTACACAGCTCTCTGGTCTTGGCCATTGTGGAGAGGTTGGAGTCTGTTTGATTGAGTGTGTGGACAGGTGTCTTTTATACAGGTAACGAGTTCAAACAGGTGTAGTTAATACAGGTAATGAGTGGAGAACAGGAGGGCTTCTTAAAGAAAAACTAACAGGTCTGTGAGAGCCGGAATTCTTACTGTTTGGTAGGTGATCAAATACTTATGTCATGCAATAAAATGCAAATGAATTACTTAAAAATCATACAATGTGATTTTCTGGATTTTTGTTTTAGATTCCGTCTCTCACAGTTGAAGTGTACCTATGATAAAAATTACAGACCTCTACTAGCTTTGTAAGTAGGAAAACCTGCAAAATCGGCAGTGTATCAAATACTTGTTCTCCCCACTGTATATATATATATATATTCAGGTTTTTCCCACAGTTTTCAGATTTCAGATTATTACACATTTCAAGATTTACAATTACAGATTACTTTATACAGTTAGATGGGTCAGAAGGTTAGGTACACTCAAAGTCATGGAGATTTTTACGTTGTTCAAAGGTAGTGTTCATTTGAGTCTGGTTTTACACGCTTGGGTTGTGTGTCTGTCTGTATGTTTAACTCGGTTTTCTCAACCAAAAGGGACATGTGTCAGGAGATCAGCACCAATTGGGGCACTCAGACATGGCAGGAGTTTGACCAGATGTGTGAGTACAACTCTGTGGAGACGGACCTGATCACCTGTTTGGCCGACGTCAGGGAGCCCTGCCAGCTGGGCTGTAAGGACCTGGCCTACTGCACCAACTTCAACAACAGGTGTGGTATATACCTAGCTACTATACTAGATAATATACCTACTATACCAGTTAATATAACTACTATACCAGTTAATATACCTACTATACCAGTTAATATACCTACTATACCTGTTAATAATATACCTACTGCACCAACTTCAACAACAGCTATATAATATACCTATCTACTATACCAGTTAATATACCTACTATACCTGTTAATATACCTACCGCACCAGCTTCAACAACTGGTGTGTTATATTACTAGGTAATATACCTACTGCACCAGCTTCAACAACAGGTGTGTTATATTACCAGACAATATACCTACTATCAGGTGCGGACTTTGCTATGTTTCAGAGTTTTCAATTGAAATGGGCCCCTACTGACTGTCACTGTACTATTTTACATTTACATTTTACATATTGGTCATTGAGCAGACACTTTTATCCAGAGGCTGGCAGACTGCTAGCAAGCTGGCAGACCATTTCAGCCAGCATGTACAGTGTCTTCAGAAAGTATTCACACCCCTTGACTTTTTTCACATTTTGTTACAGCCTGAATTTAAAATGGATTAAATTGAGATTTTGTGTCACTGATCTACACACAATGCCCCATAATGTCGAAGTGGAATTATGTCTTTAGAAATGTTTACAAATGAATTAAAAATGAAAAGCTGAAATGTATTGAGTCAAAAAGTATTCAACCCTTTTGTCATGGGAAGGCTAAATAAGTTCAGGAGTGAAAACGTGCTTAACAAGTCACATAATAAGTTACATAGACTCACTCTGTGTGCAATAATAGTGTTTAACATGATTTTTAAATGACTACCACATCTCTGTTCCCCACACATACAATTTCCCACACATACAATTTTCTGTAAGGTCCCTCAGTCGAGCAGTGAATTTCAAGCACAGATTCAACCACAAAGACCAGGGAGGATTTCCAATGGTTCGTAAAGAATATAAAATATTCCAAAATATGCATCCTGTTTGCAATAAGGCACTAAAGCAATAAAGCAAAAAATTAGGCAAAGAAATTTACTTTTTTCCTGAATACAAAGAGTTATGTTTGGGGCAAATCTAACACAACACTGAGTACCACTCTTCATATTTTCAAGCATGGTGGTGGCTGCATCATGTTATGTGTGTGCTTATCATCGGCAAGGACTAGGGAGTTTTTTTAGGATACAAATAAACTGAATATAGCTAAGCACAGGCAAAATCCTAGAGGAAAACTTGGTTCAGTCTGCTTTCCAACAGACACTGGGAAACAAATTCACCTTTCTCAGGACAATTACCTAAAACACAAGGCCAAATATACACTGGATTTGCTTACCAAAATGACATTGAATGTTCCTGAGTGGCCTAGTGACAGTTTTGACTTAAATCAACTTGAAAATCTGAGCCAAGACTTGAAAATGGCTGTCTACCAATGATCAATAACCAACCTGACAGAGCTTGAATCATTTTTTAAAGAATAATGGGCAAATATTGTACTATCCAGGTGTGCAGAGACTTACCCAGAAAGACTCACAGCTGTAATCGCTGCCAAAGGTGATTCTAACATGTATTGACTCTGGTAGTTGAATACTTATCTCAAGATATATTAGTGTTTTATTTTCCATTAATAATAAAGAATTCGCATCTTTCTTCTTCACTTTGACATTAAAGACTGTTTTGTGTAGATCGTTGACAAAAAAATGACAATTAAATCCATCATTATCCCACTTAGTAACACAACAAAATGCGAAAAAACTCAAAGGGTGTGAATACTTTCTGTATTATTATTTATTATTATTATTATTATTATTATTATTATTATTATTATTATTATTATTATTATTATTATTATACAGTTGCAATATATGACACTCTTAACAGATGCTTTTATGCATACATTTTTGTATGAGGTCCCTGCGGCAAATGAACTCAAAACCTTTGCATTGCTAGTGCCACGCTTTTACGAACTGAACCACACAGGACCACACTGTACCACACTGTACCAGACCTACAATAGGTCTACAACAGGTCTGGTACCTACTATACTCTACTGACTAACTCAAAATCCAACATTCACAATGACTGCATACATCCAAAAGGAGTCTGTAGTGCTCTGTTGCATTGATGGGCCTTCTCATTTAGTCACATATCCAATTTCAACACAACAAGCTGTGTAAAAGATAAAAGCAACCCCGGGATATGACAATGAGTGTGAAAAATAAAAAGAACACGTAAAAGTCTAAGTGAGTCATCTCGTTAAACCAGAGTGTAACTCACAAATGGTCGAATGGTGAACTGGCATCCTGCAAACACGTCCTCCATCACCTCAAGCATTGGGCTGGTCTGACGCACGCTAGGCTAATATGATTTATTAGTCCTGGAGTGTCCCAGGAAGGTCAGGGGAGAAGGCAAGGGTGAGTAGGGAGGGAGTGAGTGAGTGAGTGCATCCACCCCACCCTTTTCCCCAGCCCCGTGGTTGGTGGGTTAGTGGCCTCCATGCATAACCCTATGTGCCTCTCAAAACCCAAACTGGAACCAACAGCCTTGTAACCACATTAAATAATACACTGCAGTTAACACAATGACATTGGTGCGTTTTATGTATTTATCTTTCTATTTAAACGTTGGTTGTGAAATGAATTGCTGTGTCTAGTCGATCCCATGCTAGTCATTATGGCTGGCCAACTGGTTGGGGCCGGGTGAAACCAAGACCTCTGGGGTCTCTTCAGAGAGACAATGACTAGTTGACGACGATGTTGCTTTATAGGCTCTGTGAGTGTTGTGGTCGCCTTCCATGACTTTGTACTATGTTGTTTGGAGGTCACCGAGAAAGAAGGAGAGAGAAAAGGATAGAGAGAATGTGTGTGTGTGCGTGTGTTTGTATGTGTGTGTGTTTAAGACTGTGTGTGTGTGTGTGTGTGTGTGTGTGTGTGTGTGTAAGACTGTGTGTGTGTGTGTGTGTGCGTGCCCGCCTGTCCACAAATCTCCGTTCCACCACCACCATCCATTTGCTTTGTCCGGTTTCAAAAGCATTGTTTTTCGAGGCTGAAGTCAGGGACAGAGAAAAATATGATTGGATACTAGGGGATCTGAAGGACGTGAGCTACAGACTTAAATTTAATCTCATTGCTTGACCTCTCTTTGTCTGTGATATCGTTTTCTATATGTCTTTGTCGGTTGACTGTATCGGTTACAACACAATAATAATGATAACCATAACAACATGATTATCATAAAACATACTGTATCAACGCTTGAATTGCAGCCCAGCAGTCAAAGCGATGTAATCAATGTTTAATCAAACAAAAAAAGTCACCAAAACTTCTCATGGTAGGCCCTCTTAGAGAAGATTTGGAAATCCCAAGTATTCCATGTATTATTTTCATTGGAGAAGGTCAATGAATTCCTCTTTAGATGATGGCACCGCTGCTCCCCACTGTGGGATTTAGAGTTCAGACAAACAAACGTTGCTCTCATTTCCTTTGAAGGAGTCCCGGGGCCATCGTACGAGAGTCTTCCCCCCCCCCCCCTGAGGGGTTCAAAAGCTGGGGTGACCAGCGGCGTGGGGGCACAGTCGCAGTATGGAATTAAATAGGGCTGGAGGCTAAAAATACTTTGTGACCTCTGTCTGTCTGTCTGTCTGTCTGGCTATCTGTCTGTCCATCTACTCATCTGTCTGCCTGTCTGTCTGGACAATATTCTTATCTTGGCATGGCCCAGGGCCCACCAAAGCCCAGGGCAGGAAGTCTCAATCCACATGCCAATCATTCTGAGAGGAGGGTGGGAGAGGTCGGCAAAGCTAGAGAGAGGGAGGTTGGGAGGATAAGAGTGTGGGGGAAAGAGGTAATGTATACAAACCCAGGCCCTAGGATGTTGACTCTGGTTGACTCAAGTTATTAAGAAGAAAATATTGAGTTATATGAGGAATAGCTGACTCACGGACTGTATTGAGCCTGCATGGTGAAAATGACATTTATTTAATAACTATCCTAAATACTTATGCTTTAACTGGAGCTACTTTCCTTCCTTTCCATCTGGGTGGTTTTCAATGTGTAGAGAGACATAAAAGAGAGAGGCAGAGTAGGAACGAGTCACTGTAAATAAAAGCGAAGAGGTCATGAAAGTTGTGGAAAACCTCTGTGACCATTACCCACTACCCACCCATGGGGTCACGTTTGGTTCATGACCTGGAGCTGCGGTAAGGCTGTGGTCCCTCTGCTTGTCGTCAAGACCTCACTTTCCTTCCCCTCTCCCCTCACTCACACACACACACAGACACACCAGAGGTGTGGACTCCAGTCACATGACTTGGATTCACAAATTTGATGACTTGAGACTCGACTTGATATAAAATAAAATAACTTGAGACTTTACTTGGACTTGGACCATCAAGACTCGGGACTTTGACTTGAGACTGATTACTTGAAATGATCTGGCCAGGTTTTCTAATGTTTTGACACTCATTTTGTGGCACAGAGTCGCCGTGGATTACTCTCCACGCAGCCAGAGCCAGTAGCTTGCAAAAAAATGGCTAGTGAAATGCACACTCGGTCCTCTGATTGAACCAGAAAACTGTCAATCAACACAGATCGGGTGAGCTAGTGGTTCTCTTTTGAGCGGTGCGAGTATGAAACTGAATGGGAAGAATACATATTTTTCATAGGCCTACATATTTTAATAGATTACATAGGTAGGCTATAGTCTACCATTTGTATTTTATATTTATACACTACCGGTCAAACGTTTTAGAACACCTACTAATTCAAGGGTTTTTCTTTATTTTTACTATTTTCTACATTGTAGAATAATAGTGAAGACATCAAAACGATGAAATAACACATATGGAATCATGTAGAAACCAAAAAAGTGTTAAACAAATCAAAATATATTTTATATTTGAGATTCTTCAAATAGCCACCCTTTGCCTTGATGACAGCTTTGCACACTCTTGGCATTCTTTCAACTAGCTTCATGAGGTAGTCACCTAGAATGCATTTCAATTAACAGGTGTGCCTTCTTAAAAGTTCATTTGTGAAATGTCTTGCCTTCTTAATGCGTTTGAGTCAATCAGTTGTGTTGTGACAAGGTAGGGGAGGTATACAGAAGATAGCCCTATTTGGTAAAAGACCAAGTCCATATTATGGCAAGAACAGCTCAAATAAGCAAAGAGAAACGACAGTCCGTCATTACTTTAAGACAGTCAGTCAATACGGAACATTTCAAGAACTTTGAAAGTTTCTTCAAGTGCAGTCGCAAAAACCATCAAGCGCTATGATGAAACTGGCTCTCATGAGGACTGCCACAGGAATGGAAGACCCAGAGTTACCTCTGCTGCAGAGGATAAGTTCATTAGAGTTACCAGCCTCAGAAATTGCAGCCCAAATAAATACTTCACAGAGTTCAAGTAACAGACACATCTCAACATCAACTGTTCAGAGGAGACTGTGTGAATCAGGCCTTCATGTTCGAATTGCTGCAAAGAAACCACTACTAAAGGACACCAATAAGAAGAAGAGACTTGCTTGGGCCAAGAAACACGAGCAATGGACATTAGACCGGTGGAAATGTGTCCTTTGGTCTGGAGTCCAAATTTGAGATTTTTGGTTCCAACTGCCTTATTGCATAGTTTTGATGTCTTCGCTATTTCTTACTATTAAAATAGTAAAAATAAAGACAAACCCATGAATGAGTAGGTGTTCTAAAACCTTTGACCAGTGGTGTACATTTGCCTATTCGATCTGGTCACTAACATAGGCCTACTGCATTACACCAAATTATTGTCTCAAAAACATCTTATCTGTGCTTCAGAACCGAAGAGTTGCGCGTCCTGACTGTTGACCATTGACCAGTCATCAGCTTTGGCGCACATATCCAGATTAGTGACCAGAAAGCACTTGTTTTCTCCGGTTATGCCTGACAGAAATAGGGTAGGCTACGTTTATATTATCCATATAGAATACAGTTTAGCAATCTGCTACGGATGCTTTTTGCCAGAACAATAGACTACATGGCAATTTCATTGATCATTTTCATATTTCAGATAGACCTAGTTTGGGTTATATACCTCAGTTCTGCTTACTGGCTATGTCTGAAGAGAGTTGTAACATCGCACTGCCTTCAATACTTAAGGGATGAAGATGTAACATTCTGGCGAATTTATTACGATATTTGTAAGAAATTTGGAAGAAAAAGGCTACAGACAGACCATGCTTTCAAACCTCCGCCACATACAGTGGATCATCAACCTCTGCCGCATACAGCGGATCATCAACCTCCGCCACATACAGCGGATCATCAACCTCCGCCGCATACAGCGGATCATCAACCTCCGCTGCATACAGCGGATCATCAACATCCCCCGCATACAGCGGATCATTAACCTCCGCCGCATACAGCGGATCATCAACCTCCACCGCATACAGCGGATCATCAACCTCCGCTGCATACAGCGGATCATCAACCTCCGCCACATACAGCGGATCATCAACCTCCGCCACATACAGCGGATCATCAACCTCCGCTGCATACAGCGGATCATCAACCTCCGCTCCATACAGCGGATCATCAACCTCCACCGCATACAAGTAGGCTGTATGATCATCAACCTCCGCTGCATACAGCGGATCATCAACATCCACCGCATACAGCGGATCATCAATCTCCGCTGCATACAGCGGATCATCAACCTCCGCTCCATACAGCGGATCATCAACATCCACCGCATACAGCGGATCATCAACCTCCGCCGCATACAGCGGATCATCAACCTCCGCCGCATACAGCGGATCATCAACCTCCACCGCATACAGCGGATCATCAACCTCCGCCGCATACAGCGGATCATCAACCTCCACCGCATACAAGTAGGCTGTATGATCATCAACCTCCGCCGCATACAGCGGATCATCAACCTCCGCCGCATACAGCAGATCATCAACATCCACCGCATACAGCGGATCATCAACCTCCGCTGCATACAGCGGATCATCAACCTCCGCCGCATACAGCGGATCATCAACCTCCGCCGCATACAGCGGATCATCAACCTCCACCGCATACAAGTAGGCTGTATGATCATCAACCTCCGCCGCATACAGCGGATCATCAACCTCCGCCGCATACAGCAGATCATCAACATCCACCGCATACAGCGGATCATCAACCTCCGCTGCATACAGCGGATCATCAACCTCCACCACATACAAGTAGGCTGTATGATCATCAACCTCCGCTGCATACAGCGGATCATCAACATCCACCGCATACAGCGGATCATCAACCTCCGCTGCATACAGCGGATCATCAACCTCCACCGCATACAGCGGCTCATCAACCTCCGCCGCATACAGCGGATCATCAACCTCCGCCGCATACAGTGGATCATCAACATCCACCGCATACAGCGGATCATCAACCTCCGCCGCATACAGCGGATCATCAACCTCTGCCGCATACAGCGGATCATCAACCTCCGCCGCATACAGCGGATCATCAACCTCCGCCGCATACAGCGGATCATCAACCTCCACCGCATACAAGTAGGCTGTATGATCCTGCTTGCTCTGGACTCTAGAGACATGACATCCCTAGTTGATCATGACTGTTAAAATCAATGACTTTCAGCTTAAAATGCAGGTATAAAACGCAGTTTATATCTGTATCTTGCATTTTGAAAATGCATCACCATTTATGGATGTAATGACACATTAATAGTCGCGGGAAGTAGGGATGCTGAGGGTGCTGCAGCACCCCCTGAAAATTTTTTTTTTCACAAAAGTAGTGCACTGGGCCTTTACTATTAGCGGACTGATATAGCTGTCTGTAGCATGCCGCCATCCAACACAAGTCATTGCATGTATAGGTTTTTATATTTTACTTGACTTGAGACTTGACTTGAAAAAACTTGTGACTGGACGTGACTTGCTTTAAGAATGCATGACTTGGACTTGACTCGAGACTCGACCCATTCTACTTGTGACTCGACTTGAGACTCGGACCTTGTGACTTGAGACTTGCTTGTGACTCGAATAATAGTGACTTGGTCCCACCTCTGACACACTTACACACACACAAATAAACACACACACACGGCAAGGCAGCATGAGTGGCCAGTGGGAGGTTTTAAAGGCTGTCATTAAACCAACCACTGGCTGGAGATCAGCGCTAGAACACATCCAACCTCAGCCCCGGAAATATCCCTCCCTCACCCAGTGGAACCTACCAATCACCCAGCCCACACTGGACATCAATGAATGACACTTCCTCCCTCCCGTAGATCATTAAAGAAAATAGTCCTTGCCCCAGCAACAGGTTTCCTCAAGAAGTAGTGCTTCTCAGCCCCAGCCGTTGGTCTTTTGTTCCTGGCTTGTATCTGGGATGTTTCTGCAGTGACTAATAGTAGTAAACCGTGACATCACCACAGCCACATCCATGTGCTGTTGAGCTGTTGACACAACATCTGGACTCACAGGGCAGAGTGAACGTGCAACCCATTAGACAGAGAGAGGCAATGTTGTGTGTTATGTTTTGGTGTATGTGGACATTCGTTTTTGTCTTCTGTAGTAAGATTCACTTTGTGATTCACTTTGTGTCCATGTCCTAACCTCGAGTCGAAGCTACCTTGCACCCCTCCCAAAAATGTTACCCAATCCTCTGTGTTTCTGAATACATTTGCATTCATTCTGATAGGTGCATAGCTCTATTGAGTACATCTGCTAATTCTATAACGTCTCCCTGTCTTATTGACTCCAGGCCCACTGAGCTGTTCCGTAGCTGTAACGTTCAATCAGACCAGGGCGCCATGAACGACATCAAGCTGTGGTCCAATGGGACGATCAAGATGCCCTTTATGAACATCCCCGTCCTGGACATCAGGAAGTGTCGTCCGGAGATGTGGAAGGCTGTGGCCTGCGCCCTGCAGATCAAACCCTGCTACAGCAAGTCCCGCGGCAGCGTCATCTGCAAGTACGTACCCTCTGACTTTGGTGTAGTTTCCCAAACCCAGGTTAAGCCAACTCCAGGACTAAAAAGTGTCCATTGGAGAATCCCCATTGAAAGTGCTTTTTAGTCCAGGGATTGGCTTAATGTGGGTCTGCTGCTAATGCGTTACCATTTATCCTGCCTTTGAGAGAACATTCTATCTTGAAATCACCCACCTGGTAAAATAAAGGTAATACATAGTTAAATAAGTACATACAGCATCCCACCTTCACCTTCAATCGACTCCCGTTATCAAAGTAAAAAGTCTCCCTCAGGAAACGACCGCCAAAGTACCAGCTGGAACTAAAAACCACATGAACCAAATACAGGTGATCTCATATAGAGCACTCTGGTGATACAACATGTAGTTAGACAAACTCAGGGTGGAGGATGTTGTGGTTTCTGCACGGCTTGACTCACTACCCTACCTCAGGTTATTTATGAGCAGATCCTTTGACTGAAAGCAAATCTTTTGATTGGAGTTTTTTCCCCTGAAAGCAATCACACCTGGGTTTCTGTCAGGCTGAATGGGGTAGTTAGCATGTTAGCGACTGTGGTTAACACACCAGTGTTTACCTGTACACTAGGCTAGCCCTCAGGGCTGTAACAGCCAATGTATGTGGAGGCCTTGTCAATGTGGTCAGGAGAGACGTTCCAGCTGACAGGCTTTATTCACAGGCGCTACACGTGTGTGACAGTGGCCTTTTGTTGCACCTTTATTTACATTTGCATTTCCAGGGGGAGCCCTTGGGCAGACACACACACACACACACACATATATAGACAGACAGACAGACAGACAGACAGACACACACACACACACACACACACACACACACACACACACACACACACACACACACACACACACACACACACACACATACATACACACACACACTCCTTCATTGTTCTGGAGGTAGGGGGGATTAGGCCTCCTCACGCTACCCCTTTCAGAGTCATTCTTCCTGGGCTGCTTTGGGATGTCAGGGGGCCTGTCTGGAGCTCTGTATCCCCCGCCCAGCCTCTCCCTCCCTCTATACCCAGCCACAGAGGACAAAGACAGGATGTCAGTGAGCGATGGCAGGGCAGAACCCCACATACATCAGTCAGGGTTTAGATTGGCATGTTGTATTGGCCCTGTCCAGTACAACTAAACACTGTGCCTCCACTGTTCATGTCTGAGCAAGAAATGTGTGTGTCTGTGTGTGTGTCTATGTGTGTTGTGTGTTATGTGTGTGTGTGTGTGTGTGTGTGTGTGTGTGTGTGTGTGTGTACAGGAGTGTGTGCATGTATGCTTATGCCCATGAACAAATAATCTGTCTCTTTTAATCTCTTAATCTTCGGCTCTCGTTGAATGACATTTCTATCACACATAATTGTTTTGTCAATCCTATTTGGCTCAGTGTGTGGAATGCCAGGTGTACCATACTGATTACCTGCAATACAAAGGTACGTTATTACACTAGCCCGCTCAAGGCAACAGAAACGCAACATGCATTCTTAGCTCAGTGTGGGTAAGAAAAGCTGAGACCGCAATAAGGACTAGAAAGGAAATTACACCCCAGGATGGCAAATCAACGGAGCAGACAGACGGTTGGGAATGTAACATATGGGCCAGTGGCAGGGCTGAGAGCAGCCAAAGTCACTTCAAACACAAGTCCAGCACTTTAATGTCTGCACCTAAGCTTTCCCGGCACGAGGAGGATGCTGTGCGATGTATGCAGGGAATAGGAATCTATCTCGTGTTTCGTCTGAGCTCACTTTCAATAATAGCCTTCTGCTGTGTCCGTCAAGCCAGACGATGCTACAGTACGTCTCTGTTTAGAAAATGTGACCTGGCTAAACTCTAAACTGGGTTAAGGTTCAGCATCTTTAAACTGTTTGAAACTGTTTTTAGATAGTGTGTTGCACTGAATGAAATCATTCACAGTCAAATACTAACTAGAAAGGAGTTTCAAGTTACATTGCATACGTTGCTGTAAATGTTGCATAGCCTTCGATCATTTCGAAACATCTTGCAACGCTGCAATTAGGGTTGCAAAATTCAGCGAACTTTCAATAAATCCTGGTTGGAGGATTCCTGATTGCCTGCTTATTCCCTACTGATTCCGGGAAAACCAGGGATTTTGCAACCCTTGTTTCGATAGTGAATGTTCCTCACCCTGTCCTTCACTGGCTGTTTCCCCTGCTTTTGACAACCCTTCAGGTCGGATTGTGTAGACATCCTGACACAGTGTGGCGACAACAAGCGCTTCCACGAGGGACAGACGGCCGAGCGCATCTGTGAGATCCTGTCCCCCATAGACGACCCTGAACGCTGCATCCCCCTAGAGAGATACCTCAGTGAGTGGGACTGAGTGTGTGTGTGTGTGTGTGTGTGTGTCTTTGAACAACTAACACTGTTCCCTTACCATTACCAATTGAAAGGACTTATACATTTACATGATTCATATTCACACAATTAAAAGTTTGATTGTTGATTCAGCATTTGGTTAAGTCCTTTCATTGAATGTTGATTACACATGCAAGGAGTCCAATTATTACAAGGAGAAATGATTAATCTCAGAGCTGATCTCTAAAGCTTAAAATCAAATTGCTCATTGGTCTCCACACAGCTCCTAGCTCCCTGGGTAACATCATAGAGGAGGTCATCCACCCTTGTAACCCCAACCCCTGTCCCAGCAACCACCTGTGTGAGGTGAACAGGAAGGGCTGCCAGCCAGGACAGGACTGCCTGCCCTACTTCTGTGTGCCTGGTACAGTATAACAATATACCATACCTCCATGCAACCCATATCCACTGTATATAGAGACACACTGTTTTGAGCTTGTTCTACTAAGTAGTATTGCAAGGTATACCGAAACGTCAGTACTTTTTCGATACTACAACATGAAAAATTATTTGGTAATAGAATTTTGTTACTTTCGGTTCTTCTATCAAATGTGTCTCACCCGACTAAATGTATTGAACTTATTAGAACATTTATTAATTAGCCCAAGTTTATCATGACATGAATAGAATGCTTCAGTGATTCGCATTCCCTGCAGCTTTCTGACCCAGATTATAATTAATAATGGACCTTTTTTGGATTGCGTAAACAACAACAGTAATTGTGTGATGGCGGGGATGCAGGGTTGTGTTCCAAACAAAACAACTACAAGTGTGCTTACTCTAGTTCCTCAACGGCACAGCTAGGAGAGCTCAAAAACAAACACCTTATAGATGAAGACTCTTCTTTGAGTCATAAAAGTGCATTGAAATGACTTAGGAACTGTGCACACTTTGGAGAGGTGTGGGGCCACTTGGATACACCAGTTAGTCCTCTCACTCAAACCCTTGTCATTTTATTTGCCTTATGTTGCGCCTACCCCACATTTTCCAGGAATACTGTTATCATGTTACTGAATGTATCCAGTGTATTTTGAGATTTTGTTATCAACAAATTTGGCGAAAAGTACAGTAAATGTAAAATGCCCATAAAATCAACAGTGTAATGTTTGGTTTCAGTCTTTTGTCAGGTGAACTGTTGTGTCCTCATCTTTGGTCTAATAATTTTCCCATAATCTTCAAATTGTTCCCTTTCAATTGCTACCATGGTTATGCATATGCTTTTCATATTTCTTCTGTAGGCCAATTCCCACGAGAGTAAAGGGTTAAGTTAAGCTTTGGTGTGGTATTGTGACAACACTGCTGCTAAGAGAAGGCAATGTGTCATAGCATACCATACCGTCCTGTGCCCCTAGGAGGCGCCTATGTCCACTGTAAATACGTGTATGTGTGTAGACATGAACA